TACCCACACAGCGCCCTTCACCTCCGAAGTACCACCTTCGCCCTTCACCCCTCTGCGCCCTCTGCAGCCCGGCTATGGCCGCCAAGCGCCCAGTCCACAGGCAGCGCCCTACCGCCTAGCGCATGCCTGCCTTGCACTGCTTCTTTGCACAGCGCAGCAGCCAGCAGCTCGCATTTGCGCAGCGTGCTGGCATTGCCCGCAATGGCCAAGATTCCTGCTGCCTCGCCCTGCTTGCCTATATGCCAGTGCAGCGTGTGGGCGGCCTCCCTTCAGCCTGTGACCGGGGCCCAGAGGCTGAAGCCAACTCGATACAGTTGGGCCCCGGGGCAATGGAGTTGTGCCTCCTTCATCAAGGCCTGCGGCCAGATTCAGACAGTGGGCCATTTTCGGCCTCTGTACCCAGCATGCATTGTCGGCCTCACGTTCGAGTGCCGAGGGCCTAACTAACTCAGAGGCCCTGGGCATTTCAGCATTTGCTGAAATCCGAGACTCAGTGCACTCCAACCAACTGGCGTGCTGCAACTGTATAGACCSCACTTCGTGAAATGTTGGCACAGAGGGCTCTTGTTGATTTGCTGGCCCGCCTTCACTTAGGGCGGGCACTAGGCTTGCTGGGGCCTTAGCCCAGAACATGTACATCATGGCAAGGCCCCTACTTGAGGGCTCAATCCTCAGACAACAATAAAATTAAACCCAAAGAAAAAGAAAAACAGCCACCACCCAATCAAGGCGGTCGCACTAAAAGAAATTGAAATGCGATTTGAGAATGGAGGAACAACGAGAAAAGAGTGAAGTGAGGATGGCAGAGGGAGTGAGGACGGAGGAACGACGAGAATAGATCGTAAGTGGGGATGGCATAGGGAGTGGACATGGCAGAGGGAGGTAAGTGGAGATGGCAGATGGAGCAAGGATCAGAGAACGATGGCGAGGGATTTCGCAATTGAACGGAAAAAAAAAGGAGATAAAAGACGGACGGACGAGGGATGGAGGAAAGACAAGGGAGGGGGGAAGAGAAGAACGGGGACAAGCACGAGGGAGGAGGAAAACTACGGCCAAGGAGTGAGGAAGAGGCAGAGAACGATGATGAGGGAGGAGGGGGAAGGGAGAAGGGAGGAGAGAGGATGGAGGAGGGATGAGGAGAAGAAAGTGCCACGTGGATGCAAAAGAAAGCCTGCGAACTAAGGAGAGTAGCATGATGATGACAAGCGAGGGAGGAGGAGAACTATGTCGAGGGGGGTAACGATGACGAGCAGCTGCGCATTTCCAGAGAGAGAGAGAGAGAGAGAGAGAGAGGCTGGTGGTATGATAAGCGGGGGAGTAGGAGAACGATGACGGACGGAAGAATGGTGAGGAGGAGAAGAAAGTGCCACATGGACGCAAAAGAAAGCCCGCCAAGAGGAGGATAACGAGGACGAGGAGCTGCGCAGTTTCCACAGGGAGGGAGAGAGAGAGAGAGAGAGAGAGGGAGGGCCTGTTGGTAACCCGCCTGGATACGGCTGCTTCCTTCGCCTCGTCCCGCTGCTGCAACCCTCGGCTCCTCGCTGCCTCCTGCTGCTGTTCGAAGCTGCGCAGGGTATGGCTGAACAACGACGTGGGGGGCTGCTTCCTGCTCCGACACACACGAGAAGACGATGACGGCAGCGGCGAGGACGACACACGGCACGGGTAGGGCTGAGGTCGACTGCCGGGATGGGGCCGGCGTGGGACAGGGCCGAGTAGTTCAAAAACGAACTACTCGGATTTCCCCGCCCTTTCATTTCTGCGGGGCCCCGCGCGGCCTCAAAATTTGTTTTTCTTTTTTGGCTAACTGGCGGCGCGAAGTGCCTACTGGCCTTGCAGCCCCCCCCGCCCCAACTTTCGTTTTTTTTTGGAGACCCCCCGATTTCTGAATGCGCCGCATGTGATACCCGCGTTGCGGCGCATGTGCGTGTTGCAGCGCATGTCGCTGCGCCGCATGTATGGTGGAAATGTGTGAACTCCTTTGAAAATTGAACACTCTATATGATCATGATGGTTTCTTGAAGGTCCAGAAGAGGAGGCGTAAGGCACAAACAGGAGTAAGGGATGATGAATGGGCATATGAGGGACAGCATTGGAACAATGCCAAGCTAGTCTCTTTGTGCCATATGCATCAAATTTTTAGGGTCCGTATGAAGGGAGCCTCATGTGATACACATTGGATGCAGCGGCAATTGGACCTAAGGGCCCACCGGTTGGTCTATTTTACATTGGATGTGGGACCTTGGGAGTTCTGCAACTGGGTGTGGACCTTATAGGTGGAAATGTGTGAACTCCTTTGAAAATTGAACACTCTATATCATCATGATGGTTTCTTAAAGGTCCAGAAAAGGAGGCGTAAGGCACAAACAGGAGTAAGGGATGATGAATGGGCAAATGAGGGACAGCATTGGAACAATGCCAAACTAGTCTTTCTGTGCCATATGCATCAAATTTTTAGGGTCCGCATGAAGGGAGCCTCGTGTGATACACATTGGATCTGCATTCGAGCAGCGTTGAGAAGAAGTTGACTACATGTTGGTGAGGTCTGCATTTTTCTTGGTTTTGTTTTTCAATCAAAAAGTGCCCGAGTTATTTCCTATACATCTGCTCTAATGATTGTTTTCTGCATTGCGTATGTCTTTTTCTGTTGTCGATTCTGCATTTTCAGGTCGCAAACAGGCTTACGAAGTTCCTTGCCCCTCTCCATTGGCATGATTATCGAAAGCAGTATGGGCGATTAGACGAGTTCCTTGCATCACATTCAGAGGTAGGATATTCTGTTTTGGATCTGTGGTTGTGTTCGCAGTTTCCTACCAGCACGTAACCAAGAATAAATTTTGACATGGAGAGGCTAAGTATGCGAAATACTGGCTTTGGGATAGTGCAGCTTGAGGCTGAAAAAGTCTAACACTGCGCATCATGTGATGCAAGTTGACAGTGAAGAATCTCAAGTCACAAGCACATTTTGCGCCCATTGACACAACTGGAAAGCAAACAGCAGGATTAACAAAGTAATGATCTCGCACAAAGAATCTTACAGTGGAGAAACATCCCCCTCCTTGCCTCCAACAGTTACCAAGAACAAGAATGACAATTATGTACAATGTCAGCCCGTCCGTCCTTCAACCGGAAATGTGACCAATCACCTGTCCTGGCCTGCTATACTACAGCTGCCTGATGTCATATTTTCTCCAGCGCAGTGCTGCTCCTGCCAAAATTGAATAGAAGAAAGCTAAATATCACATGACATAAACCACCCAGGTGAGAACCTCCCTTTCCTTCCCACATAGCTCTTCCTCCTGCCAGCACCCTCTCACTCTTTCTAATCCGGCTGACCCTCCCCCTCCCCTGCACATGGCCAGCCAGCGTCTTTTCTTTGTGTAGATTAGACAATTTGTGCTGGAGATAGTGAGAGGGCTGTGCTGCGGATAGTGAGAGGGCTGTGCTGCAGATAGTGAGAGGATCCGTCCAGAGGGCGGTGGGCCGGTGGCTTTGCCATGCCATTGTGTCTCAGCACAGTTACAGTTTGGTTAGCTTGCACACAACAGCCTATGACAATTCCAGATTACACCATCACATTGAAAGCCAGATAGTCACACTGTGTCCAGAGAACAGCATTGCACCAATAATACACCAATGGAGGTTCGTAGTACTGAAAACCAATGTCACAGAGAGCATACTCTCTCCTCATCAACACAAGAGTCCAGTCCCTTCACACTCCCACTTGGCGCTCAGCGCCCAGCCTACTCCTAGCACAGCTACTACAGCCTACTAATTGACAATGCAACTGTTGACATCAGCAGCAACCCGAAGTACTTGAAGATGTCACCCATGCAGACCATCGCCAATACAACGTAAGTGCCCTTACATCATCATCATCATCATCCTTCACCTATCCCCTGACTTTACACCCACGTCTGTCCTCTCTCACACCCGAAGACCATCCCTGCGCCTCACTGTGTATCCAAGCCCAGCCCGCTATGGAGGCTGGCTATGGCACTGCCTTCAGCAGTGCCCTGCTCCTTCACACGATCGCACGTGCGCAGCCAGCCCGCGAGCAATCACTCCAGCAGCGCTGCCGCCAGCCAGCAAGTGACCGAATCCCCCAGCCAGTGCCCTGCCTGGCCGCCCTGGGCGCCCTGGCCTGGGCCCAGAAGCTTTCGGAAGGCCCCAGGAGGCTGCCTGTGTACAGCAGCTACTGTGCTGCTGGGCCTCGTTCGGTTGGGCACCCAACTGTCTCTGTATGAGGCTGCGAATCACGCCCAGGGCCTGCATTCTTTGGAAAAGCCCAGAGGGCCGTGGAAATGTCTTTGTGGCCCGGCCTGAGTTTCTCTTAACCAACTGGCGCGTCGCAACTGCCTGGACCCCTTGCGATATGTCAGGCCCGCCTTCACTTAGGGCGGGCACCTCCGCCTTCACTAGGGCGGGCAATGCTGCAAACAGGGCCCCGTAGGCCTTTCGAGGACCTTGATCCTCACATTCCCTCCTCTACTTCGTTAGTCCTCTGAGAAGTCTCTTACTCAGCAGGCATCTTCCTAAAAATAAACTACGCAAAGACTCACTACTGGGAACACAGTCTTTTATTCCCTGCCTTTTCAAGAAACAGCAAGCCGTCTACCATCGTAAATTCGTCCAGTCTTTTTATCCTTTGCCTTGAATCTACGGATGATCTCAGACATAACTGGATCTTGCTGATAGGCGTCCACCAATGATCGAGTCAAATCGTTAGATATGCCAAACTCAGTCACTAGTGCGCCCAGATAATCAGCCCGGCGAGATAACGCATCAGCCACTTTGTTGTACTCTCCCTTGATTGGATCAAGTTGATAGTCATACATGTTTATCACTTGTATCCAGCGCTTGAGTGCGTCAGAGAGTACTGGCTGAATCTTGATCCAGCGCAAGGTCTCATGGTCAGATCTCAAATAGAAGAATCTGCCAAGGAGATAGTGTCTCCAATGTACCAACGCTCTGTACAGGGCATAGAGCTCACGACTCCCCCATCCGAAGTCTCACTGGCCCCATCCTGCTCTGTCACCTCCCCAAGGTCCGGGAAATCGTCAATCTCCGTCGTTTGACCATCATGGTAAACGAACATCAACTGACCCTTTTTCTTCCAGTCCTGGGGAAGTCTCTTCCTACCATCATGAGTTACCTGATGCGCGGATCCCAGCTTTGCCTCTATATGTAGGGCCTTCCTGCTAAAAGTAGCAAAGCTGTGTTGGTCTATGTAGGCTTCGTCCACCAGTTTCGCCCTGACTTCTGATGGAAGACATCTCAAATAATCCGTGAGGAGTACTTTAGGGTCAAAGCGCACACCAGGTGCTACGATCAGACGTTCTACTACGTCTGTGACTTCGCGAACATTCTTGTATTTTTTGGCACACAGATTGTTGATCGCGTCAGTGGCCTTCTGAGCCCCTTGGGGGTCATGCCACCTCCTGTACACAATCTGTACGAAATGTTCCAATGTCTGGGCCTGTGCCCATGTATCGAAGTTCTGACAATAGCCTTGCTGCTGCACTAACCCATTCAACCAACGTGCTGCCGATCCTTCTAAAAAGGACGCAGCAACTACAACCTCCTGCTCTGGCCTTGTAAGCTTATGCCTCACATATGTAGGCACAATTCTTATTCCAGATCCTCATCCTTCCTGTCTCCAGAAAAAGGTTTAGGACTCAGCAGAGGAATCTTGGGCATCCACTGCATAGGCTGCATGGGCCCAGGAGCTTGCTGCAGCGGCTGCATAGCCACTGAAACAGGCTGTTGCGCACTAACCTGGGCCTGGCTTGACAGTGGGACTGTAGTTACCACTGTCATGGATGGTACGGCTGAGACTCTTTGAAGCGGACCACTAGTTGCTACTAAACCACCCGGAGGGGGTATGCCAAACATAGGAGAGAAAGTTGGCCCTGTGGGTTGCGGCATCGATGAAGGACCCGCACCCGCACCCGCAGGGGGAACTACAGCAAACTGTAGCTGCCTCATCATTGTACGAGGAACCCGAAGTTCAGCCAGGATTCGTTTCTGGCGTGCCACCAATTCGGCCAGCAATTCCTGCTGGACATTCTGCGCTTCAGCCACTGAAAGTAAGGCACTACGCAGCACACGAACAGCAGGGTCTAATGCCGCCTCATCTAGTCCTTCCAGCCTGCCTAGCTCCTGCACTCTACTCCCTAGTCTAGCCTCTGAGTATTGCTTTTCTTCTCCTCTCTGCTGCTTCATCCAACTGCCACTGTAGCTCATCCTGAAGTTCTTCTGCTTCCCCGATTTCTAAATCCTTCGGCGTGAGTGGAGTCTGCTGGCTGACTTGCAAGCTAGCAGTCTGACTAATGGACCCTTGAGAACCACTCTGACTGACTCCTGACGAAGTGGACTGGGAAGAGGTTTGCGACATGGTAGATGAAGTAGCCATGGCTGCACCGGTGCTAGCTGAAATACTAGTCCTGGCACTATCCTCAGCTGCCCTCGCTCTCCTTGCCGCTGCTCTATCTCTAGCCTCTCTCCGCAATCTTCTCTCGTCTCCTGGACCTAACTCCAAGAATGTCAAGGGTCGACTACGAGCAGTCCCACGAGTAGTCCTGCGGTCATCCACTAGCAACTCCTCCTCACTAGTGCTTGCATCATTCATGATCTACAGTGTGTGTGATCTAAACTAGAATCCACACTGAATCCTACCTTAGCCTGACACACAACCGATTACGAATCACAACTAATTTCGGTCGGACTGAACAGAAACAGTTAGGTGATGTAGTAACAACTAATGTCCAATCCTACAGGAAATATTATTAGAACAGATTGCAATACAGCAAAGATCTAATCTGTCTGTAGTTGTCTGTCAGTTGTTAGTCAAGTCTGTAGCAACTATATAATCAAAAATAAAAATAACATCTCCTGTTGGAGATGTATGCTTGATGGCAGATTGTCTGTTGATTGCCACTGCGAACAGTTACCGGAATCCCCCCTCCCCCTGTATCCTTCTTGAGTGGTCACTTTGTGTCAACGTCCTGAGCATCTGGTTGAGCAGCGTGTCTGAAGGTGTGCAATCCGGCCCACCCCTGTGCCCCAAGTCAACGCCGGACCTGCCAGCCCCTGCACATTATTTACCCTCGCATGCAACGAGCTTATACCTGGTTGATCTGGCTGATCAGAGAGATTTAAGGAGAGCCCCCATCTCCTCAGGAATTATTTAACATCGCAGACAGGACGACGATCACAGCCAGATTCAATACCGAGTCCCCAGCCAGAAATATTTAAAGACGGTCTGGTAAGCGTCTGTCAAAGGGCTGGCATGCCCTGCAGACCTCTATTGCGCAGGGTTGGCATGGTGACTGTGACCCGAGTGCTTCGTCCCGGGCCCTTCAGAGTCTTCGCCCGTCTCCCACCAGCTTGCTGCCCAGGAAGAATGTCGACTCTCAAGGTTGAGCGCTCGCGACACCTCACATTGAGAGGACTCTCAAGACAGAACTCACTTCCTCACGGTAAGAAGCAATGAAGAGGGTAGATAAGGAAGAGAGCAACGTACCTCATAAATGCTGCCCCCAGCCACAGATTTCTCACCGGCAACCTGATGTGCAATTATGATGACCGGTCTTTGCCTCGGCACAACCAACAACAGAATGCGGTTCCACCTCGGCTTAATATGCCACATCAGCAAGCTCTCATCATCCAGCATACACCCCGTATGTCACCACATAGCTCCCTGGCGCGCCCACACTACCCTGGGCCGCCCAATGTTCAACGCCAATGCCTTATCACTGCCCCACA